GAAAACAAGAATATTGTTGAAAATAGAAACTGATGAAGTAGATAAAACAGTCGGGGAGTTGGGGAAAATAATAAGAGAAGAACCTTATTGAAAAACTGCCATAGCAGGCTATGTTTTCTTACCTCTTAAAAAAAGTTTGTGTCAAAAGAAGCAAGTACTGAAAAAAAATAATTCCACCATCGGGAAATAGTCGAGTGGCAAGACGCTGGCTTTGGGTGCCAGTGGCGGGAGTTCAATTCTCTCTTTTCCGACCATAACGCAGGATAGAGAAGTTTGGTTATCTCGCTTGGCTCATAACCAAGAAAACGCGGGTTCAATTCCCGCTCCTGCTACAAATAATTCAGTTGAGTAGTTCAGCGGCAGAACACTCCCCTGATAAGGGAGAGGTCAGTAGTTCAATTCTACTCTCAACTACCATTATTAGAAACGTGGAAAAAGAAAGCAAAAAGAGAGACAAGAAAAAGCGAACCCACAATTAGCAGTGCTAAAAATCGCCAGAAAAAAAACATTAAAGTTAGTAATTTATGGAAACAAAAACAATTGTATCATCGGAGGTGACTAATTATTATTCTAAACATCAAGCATTAGTTCGTATATTAATCGACAATTTGCCAGTTGATAGAATAAAAGAAGAATTAGGCGATATTTACCAAGGTTGAGAAAGTGATTTTGTTTTTAAAGTTTTACCTAAAGAAGACCAACAAAAAATTATAGTTTATAACGATCTGCAAAAACAAGGCTTGCTTAAACCTATAACTGCACAAAATGCTGGAGATAACATTATTGCTACCGAAAATGAATGAGAAATTTATTTTTCTCAAACACCGCAAGAAATAAAAAAACAATTAGAAGAATTAGCAAATAGTAATAAAAATTTGAAAATTAAAGTAAAGAATTTGGAGGATAAATTGGAAAGGATAAAAAAACTGGAAAATTCACATTGAGAGAATGAGTAACAAAAACTTAATTGCTATTTTCACCAATTCCAAAATCGCCCAGTATATTTTATCATGTAAATAAGGAGTTGAGAAACATTTTTACCCACAAATTTGCCCACAGTCGCATGTTTTAGGCTCATAATAATTACTTTTTATTTTTTCAATAATTCTCTGATTTCTTTTTTAGCCTCTTTGAGTTTTTTAATCACTGCTATAAAGGCACCAATAACAGTAATCAGAATACCAGCAAAGGCTAGCAATCCCATCATTTTCTGTCGATAAAAACCCTCTTCTTGTTTTTTCATTACTTCCTGATGCTGTTTTTTTTGAAGTTCTTGGATTTCTTGCTGCTTTTTTAAATCAGTTTCCCAATGTAAATCCAGTTCGGCTTTTAAGGCTTTAATTTCCTTTTGCAGTGCCGAAACTTCGTTTTCCAGGCTTTTGATTCTGTCTTCCTGATCGTTCATAAAAAACTTTCTTTATTTTTTGTCCTCCTTTTTATCCTTATCGAATAAAGAAGTTAATTTATCCACTTTTAATTTTTCGCCCATTGCAGAAGTGGCCTGATTGACTTTATCCCCTACCGC